ATTGGAGGAAGACTCATTAACAACCTGCGATAGGCAGATGATACAACCTTCCTTTCTGAAAGTAAGAGGACTTGAAGCACTTACTGATGATGATCAAAGACCACAGCCTTCAGTATGGCTTATACCTCAGCCTAAAACAAAAATCCTCACAACTGGACCAATAAGCAACATCATGATAAATGGAGAAAATACTGACGTTATCATGGATTTCATTTTTCTTGGATCCACAATCAATGTCCATAGATGCAGCAGTCAAGAAATCAAACCACGTACCGGACTGGGCAAATCTGCTGCAAAAGACCTCTTAAAGTGTTAAAAAGTAAAGAAGTCACCTCGATTACTACTGCGGGCCTGACCCAAGTCATGGTGTTTTCAATCACCTCATATGCATGTGAAAGCTGGACAATGAACAAAGAAAGACCGAAGAAGGACTAATGTCTTTGAATTACAATGTTAGTGAACAATATTGAATATACCATGGACTACCAGAAGAACAAACAAATTTGTCTTGGAACAAGTACAGACAGAATGCTCCTTAGAAGTGAGGATGGCAGTACTTTGTCTCACACACTTTGGACATGTTATCAAGAGGGACCAGTCCCTGGAGAAGGACATCATGCTTGGTAAAGCATTTGGTCAGTGAAAAAAAAGAAGACCTTCAACAAGATGGACTGACACCATGAATGCAGCAATGGGCTGAAACACTGCAATAATTGTGAGGATGACACAGCACTGGGCAATGTTTCATTCTGTTACACACAGGGTCACTATGAGTCTGAACCGACTCGACGGCACCTAACAACTATTTATAAAGCTGACCTAAACATTTAATAATCTTTTACTTATTAATTCAACAAATATTTACATTTCAATTGCCAGACAAATTCTAAAATAGTGGGGATTTGTGGTGCCCTCACACAGCTTACATTTTAGTGGGGAAGAGGGGAGACAGACAATGACTGTGTGAACAAATATTAAAAATACAGATGTATCAGTTGGATTCCTCTACAACAACAAAGAGAACTTCGAGAGGAAATCACCAAATCAATACCATTTACAACAGCTCCCAAGAAGATACTTAGGAATAAATCTAACCAGAGATGTAAAAGACCTATACAATGAAAACTACAAGACCCTACTTTAAGAAACCAAGAGACCTGCATAAGTGGAAGAACGTACCTTGCTCATGGATAGGAAGACTCAACACTGAAAACACCAATTCTATCCAAAGTGATCTACAGATACAATGCAATTCTGATCCAAATTCCCAAGGCACTTTTTAATGAGATGGAGAAACAAATCACCAACTTCATATGGAAAGGGAAGAGGCCCCGGATAAGTAAAGCATTACTTAAGAAGAAGAACAAAGTGGGAGGCCTCACACTATCTGATTTTAGAACCTACTATACCGCCACGGTAGTCAAAACAACCTAGTACTGGTACAACAACAGATACATAGACCAATGGAACAGAATTGAGAATCCAGACATAAATTCATCCACCTATGAGCAGCTGATATTTGAC